GCGGCGGGGGGCGGGGCCCCGGGGGGGTGGCAGTCAGGACAGCCAATCGGCAGGCAGGGATGCACGGGGCGGGACGGAGGGCCCCTGACGCTGCTGGCTGTGCGGTGCTGTGGACAGCCACCGAGGACAGCCGTGCTGCAAAGTGAAGATGCGCATGATGCTCAACTGGAGCTTCAGCGTAGCCATCCCTGCGGGCGTGCGACACACCGCTGACACCTAGTAGTGTCCTCCTGACATCTAAAACATGCCTTTAGAGGTCACCTGTCCTTACAAACGTCCAGAGGGGTCCTAAGCCAGCATCCCAGCGCCGCTTAGAGGGCTCTGTGGTGCTGTTTGCCGGTTCACTGCCTCCGAGAAAACCAACCACCCCGACACAGGCACCACAGCAAAGACCATTAGTGCCCCCCACAGCCTGTGGTGTTCTCTGGTGTTCCCTCCCACCCCCTGTGCTTCTCACCCAACACCCCGCTGGAAAGATGAAAGGACCAGGATCTAGGTGATGACATCTGAGTCGCCTCAAATGATAGACAGCTCTTCACATGAAAGATGTTTTGTGGTCATAATTACCTCCAAATGTAATTATATTCAAATAACTCGACTTATCATGCCCTAGCAATTGCAAAGCCATGATTTTGACATGTGGCAATTTATAAGTAAATGTGAAATGCTATGAGATGTAACAGCCGCTCTTCTGTCTCAGTGTTCTGTTTAAGAGTGATACGACACTCAGGTAATGACTTTATTTTTCAGTTAACATAACCAGCCCACAGTACAGCATGCGAAATCACAAAGTACAAATTCAAGGAAGGGAATGCCTTTACTAAGTCACAAAACTTTGGCAAATTAATACAGTACCCGTTAATACAATAAAATACTATTTTTTTTTGCTGGAGTCATGTATCAACTTAGCGCTAATTTGCACTTCAAAAATATCATTTAAGTACCAAATCCAAACACTGGTTTCCAAGAGGGCAAGTTATTTTATACAAATTAATGGCATTTGAAATTATACAGTTTCTTTTTTTAAAGTGAGTTCCTCGGGCAGGTGGTTCCAGTTCACAGCAGCGGGCAACTGTGTGGACTTGAGGGCGGCCGGCCTTTCTTCTGGTTGGTCCATACCCAGATACTGTTCCAGTCCCTGACAGGCTCTAAGATTCTACCTAAGGAGACTTGAGGTCAACATCGATTTCTTCTAAGTACTTAAACAAAAAACAAACAAACCCATGAATTGTTCACACGAACACAAGACTCTCCAGTCAGCTCCCTCAAGCCCTTCCACCTCAGACAATCACTTTGATTTAGAAACTCTCCATCTTTTGCTTTGATCAAAAGTCACAGCCTTACCCCAGCTCATTAAAAAAAAGAAATAATAAACTCTACCTAAAATAGCCGTATCTTTTAAATAACAAATAAATATGATGTCAGCTTGGAGAGTCCTGGGGCCCTGAAGCTGCACACCCATCTCCACTGTCATTTTTCCACCAAGGCTGCCGCGGCTGCCATCGGCGTCCGTATGCTTCCTCTTGCTGATGCTGCCAAGTCTTCAATCTCAGCGTTCAGTTTATGGATCACCCATTCCATTGCTTCTCGGCCCTTAAAAAGTGCAATACATTTATTGTTACTGGGAGCAAGTGTGTACATAAAGGAAATGGCAGCCAGAATAAGAGGGGGTGTTAGAGGCTAACTAAACCTCAGGGACAGATCGCTTGTCCCTGTTTTCTTTTTCTTCTCAGTCATTATTTACCAAATACCAAATGCCTTGAGCAATTGGCTTGATCCAGAAGCCAATTTTTATTTTGTATGCAGAAGATGTTCTAGAAGGAGGTACAGCTGAGTGGCAGGGGGTCTTGTTGATCAAATTTTGTATGCAGAAGATGTTCTAGAAGGAGGTACAGCTGAGTGGCAGGGTGTCTTGTTGACTGTGTGATTAGAATGGTGAAACCCCCTTTCCTCCTGAATCATCGGTGTAAATCAATCATGCACACACCCAGGATCTGGTCCTTGACCATGCACCCCTTCCTTCCCGGGGCTCTAGAGTTTGAGGAATGAAGAGGACACTTCATGCTTCCTGTCTAAGGGTCTTTGCACATGCTCCTCCCCACTCCCACCCCACCCCCACACCCCATGTTCTTCCTGGATACTGCTGGCACCAACTCCGTCTCTCTCAGCACTTGGCACAAACATCAGTTACCAAACACTCATTAAACCCTCACGCCTGCCTTTACTTTTCCTTTCCCAGGGGAGTGCTGTGTGATTAAGGCTGCCTTCCTGAGGCCTAGGAGAGCAAAGCACATTTGTCTTGCTGCCTGCATTATCTCGAGACTGCCTTGAATGACTTGATGAAATGTGTTAAAGAAATGTGTTAGGTACCTTTCCCCCTAAACTTACTGTTTTAACATGGGAGTGATTCCCAAAGGAGTATCCAGACACACATGTGACACATTCATCAAATAGTTTCATGACGGAAACCAGAAGTAAAAATGTCTAAAACTGATGGGCATAACAAAATACTGCTGAGGAACAGCACTATTTGTTGTTATGCTAACTATTGGTTAGCATACACAGGGCTGTTGTCATCCAAGTATGTCTACTACAATGGGCCCTGAGCTGCTAGTAATGCTGGCATGTGCACAGCCCACCCAAATGGATACCTACTGTTCTGCCTCTCCCTATAGAATGGCCCCGTCAGCTTTGGAGACAGCTACATTCAGGCAGTAAACCTGGGACAGTGAGCGATGAGGAGATGTGCCCACCCACTTACTTTGTTAGCATTGGAAGATATGGTGCTTGCCATGAGTCCTTCAAGGTAGCTGCTGAGGCTGACCCCTTTCACGGTGATGATGGCTTCCTGGGTCAAGACAGTTCTGGCAAAATAACCCACAGCTTTAGATGACACATGTTTGATTTGCAAAGAGCAGCCCACCAAGAAACACAATGCCTCACCCAGTGAGGACACCATCAGGCTTTACTTACTTCTCTGGGTCCTGGGGGTGCGGCTTGTATGTGAGCCTCTCGTCTACTGAGACCATATTTGTAAATGAGATCTACAGGGTAAGGAAAAAGTCAGGCCACTTTGGAAACCAAGACACAGCCCCAAATCTTATTTGCTAAACACACAAAACAAAAAACTTAAACCATCTTGACATTACTGGGTAACTATAATTTAAATTTATACTTAAATTTCACCAAACTTTTATTTGGGCAGGGAGGTGGCTCCACAGGTAAAGAAAGGTGTTTCCCCTAAGCATGACAACCTGAGCTCTATCCCCTCATAGGAAGCGCCAACTCCCATGGCAAGCTGTCCTAATGGTTTCCTGGGTATGTCCCTCCTCTATACTCTAAATGTAAAGAAAGAAAATGATTTAGGAAATTCAGGGTTAGGAGTATAGAGCACCTTTTCCCCTTTACTTATGTATTTATTTTTATTTTTTAACTTTGTGACGCTAGGGAATTGGACTTAAGGCCACAACCACACTAGGCAAGTGCTCTATCATGCCCTTAGCCTTCAAAATAAATAAATAAAATGGGAGGTGGTGGCAATCGGGAAGTAGAGGTACACGGAGCTCTTGCGTTCAGGCCAGCCTAGTCTACAAAGCGAGTTCCAGGACAGACAGGGCTGTCTCAAAAAAACCAAAAACCAAAACCAAAACCAAGAAACCAAACAAACTATGTATGCATGAAATAAGGGAGCCTCTCCCCATGTTGCCCCATATGGCCTTGAATGCAATCTGTAGTCTAAGTTGGCTTTGAACCTGTGACTCTCCTGCCCAGCCTTCGAAGCAGCTGGATTACAGGTATATATACTACTCTGCCCAGCCACGCACTGACTTTTGATAGCACACACTCATTCATATTTCATTTGTAAGAAAAGACATCCTCGGTCAAAGAGTGAAGAAAGGACTCACATTGGTGGACTTGAGCTCCATTGTCTTCTTTACCGGGTCGACCACAGAGTGCTCCTGCACGTACGTTTTTGTTCTTGCGGCACCAATAAGCTACAGGCAACACTACAGTTAGTAACCAGAGCCCTTTCAAGCAGGGCCACTTTTACTTGAAGGCACAAATGTGTTAATTATGTTGAACCAAAACCTGTTGGCGGTAATGGACTTGCACCCAGAGGAAGCCAAGACTGCCAAAGGCCCTACTTAAGAACCTTCCCCATAGGCAGCCGGTGACCAGCTGTGACCTGTGTGTGACACTGGGGCAGGAAGGGGACATCTGGAAGTCAGGAGACCCCAGAATGCACCGTGTCTCTGGTAGAGCTCAGTGGTATAGATCAGTCAGTGTCTCAAGCAGCCCCGGGAGAAGCCCCGTTCTTCCACTGGTGAGATAGGAAAGCAGGCCTCACAGCTGAGGGGTACCTCCACAATGAGTACCCTCTATGGGTGCGTCCCAAGCCCACCCACCTCTGCTCTGGTGGAAAGTAAGCTCTTCCCTGTTCTGAATAGAGACCCAATACAGAAGCCTGGATCCAAGCGCCGCCATTTCTACCACACCAACTGGCATTCTAGTTTCTTACTGCCTCTATCAGCTCACTGAAGCCTGGTGGTTTGTCACAGAAACAGAACTACTTCTAAATGGAGAGAAAGTACCAGACCATGGCCTAAATGCAGAACAGCAAGCCAAACAGAATTCTTGTCACTTAATGTGCACAACCCACAAGGGCTCAATGTCACCTAATAGCTAGGACCTGGCCATTGTAAATTCCATGACAGGCCTCAGGCTGGTGCAAAAGCAGGAAAAGATGCGACCCCCTCTTTACCAAGCCGGCTTCCCACAGCCGTGGGACCTTCGGGAGGACTGAACACTCTTTGCAGTTAGCCAAGCACTCCTAACCCTTTATCATGGAAATGCGGTGGAGCACGCTGGCACACTTGTCCATACTCACAGACTTCACAATGGAAGGCAGGCCCCACTCTGTGCTGAGGAGTCTGTGGCTGTGCAGCTTTCCAGAGGGATCCACATGTCTGTCCAGCACGTCAACGCCCACTACACTGGGATTCATGGGGTTGGGGTATTTCTGCATTGCAGCCGTGGTAACCATTTCCCATGGATGGCTGCAGACAAACCAAAAACCAAATGTGCAAAATGGCGGAGGAGGTAAGGCACTCTTTCAGCACAGCACGCTATGCTTCACGATGACCATGAGTTGATGTTGGGCAATGACCTTTGGAGACACTGAGTGCTGAGGATGTTAACTGTGTGCGGACCTGTGTTTGCAGAACACAGACCGCACGCACAGCACTGCCTATGAAGCACCCTTACAGCAGCACGCCTCTCCTGGCAGTCCTGCTCAGTCTTCCTACCTACCCCTATCCACAGGTAAGAGCAATCAACAGCCCATAAAAATGTACTCAAAGACCATGTTCATAGAAGCAAGTGGGGAGATGCCAGCAGACCACAGTTCTATAAGAACTCCAGGCACCATGGCCACGATTAGGAAGGATCATACTACCGATTTATGATTAAGCATTTTCTGTTTTGTTTTATTGTTTTCTTTTTGAGATGGGGTTTCTTAGTGTAGCTCTGGCTGTGCTGGAACTTGCTCTGGAGACCAGGCTGGCCTCAGACTCAGAGATCCGCCTGCCTCTGCCTCCTGTGCGCCACCAGCACCCGGCTGATTAAGCATTTTATCAACAGAAGTAACACTTGCTCTTTGTTATTATCCGCTGCCTTCCTCCAACTCTGGCTTCAGCTCTGAAAAGGTCACACACTAGGAAATGCCAAGGGCCTAGTGACTTAGCATGAGCACCTGCCATCACTCCAGTGGCTGAGAACTTCAGCTTCTTTACTTTTTTGAAAAGGGCCACATACCTAATGTGCCACATTGGCACCTGTCTTCTGGGGACAAAAGGCACTCACTTCTCAGGAAGCCCTGACTGACCAATTAGCATCAACGCTGGGTGGTCCATCTGCAGTCTTAGCCCACCCCTTTCCATACTATTTATCTGTGTGTCCTTGTGTTCTGGAGATGGATTTTAAGCTAGGCCCACAGACACAAACCACAGAGCTCTTGTTTCTCTAAAAGCAAAGCAGGTGGGCATTCATCCATTTCAATTTTCTGGAGAAGCTGGGCATTGGTGGTGCACGCCTTTAATCCCAGCACTTGGGAGGCAGAGGCAGGTGATCTCTGTGAGTTCAAGGCCAGCGTGGTCTACAGAGTGAGTGCTAGGATAGGCTCCAAAGCTACACAGAGAAACCCTGTCTCGAAAAACAAAACAAAACAAACCAACAAACAAATCAACTTTCTGGAAAACCCAGACTGACAACTACACCTTGCCAACAGAAGACAAACCTCAACCCCATTAATTTTCCAGAACCACAGACAACCAGTGACATAGTTTTTAATGTTTTTACTTAGTCAAAAACATATAACTGAGCCTTAACTTCTACTTAATCTCGAGCCCTATTCCACAGTCAAGCAGGTATGTAAGTAGAGGGTTCATAAATCTAAGCTGCCCCCAATGGCAGTGATTTGGCCCAGCCCTCTGACTGTCATAGAGTCAACTGCCTAACAAGAAAATCAGATGAGGCCCTCTGGTCCACCATCCTGCCAGGAGGCAAGGTTAGAGGCCTCCTCTCCCCCCTCTGAAAAATTAACAAATGGCCTGGGGCTACTGTACTTGATTGGGATTTGCCCTATTTGTGCTCTCCAAGCCGATGACGTTCCATAGCACTGTTGACCTAGCTCAAACTTCACCAAGGGCACACACTGTGATCACCAGTGTTCCAGCAATTAGGGTTAGCTTCATTAGCAAAACATGATTATGTGAAAAAGACCCTGGAAGACATTCACAGAGCGCCAAAGTAGAGTTGAGCCACCCTGGCCACAGCAGACTGGCCTGTAAATGGGAACACTGTTAACTGACAGAGGTGGCAACAGTTATTTCTGTCACTTATAAAAGCTGTGCTAGGACATAACGTACACTCAGACACTGGAAGACTCAACAACTGACTCCACACTGAGTGCTAATGCTATGCCGTGTCTCGGAAGTGCCCCACCCCCCAAATCCAAGACATATGCCTGAAGAATGACTTGGGATCCCGCTAGAGAGAGTGGTGTTCTCCAGATGGAACCAGGAATATGGTAGCGGAACATCTGGACTGAAACTCAGGAGGCTACGTTGTGAGCTCAATGCGCCTCCATCTTTGCCATTCTGTTTTCTGAGACTCCACCTTGCCAAACAGTCCCACCACACTATGTAGTTCGGGCTAACCTCAGACTCATGGCAATTTTCCTGCCGCAGGCCCGGAAATGTTAGGGTTATAGGCATGCTGCACATCCTGCTTGAGATACAGATCTGAGTGCCATGACTGTGAGTGGGTTGGGCCCTTGATTGGGTGGCTCAGCTTGTCTGGAGAGAGAGCAGTGCCGGGTGTCCTCGCAGGGCAGGGACAGCACTTATTTGCAGATCTACCATCTATCTTATACGAATGCTTATACTCTTTATCCACCACCTTAGTAGTCTTTGTTGTCACAGAACTGTGACAACAAAGACTACTAAGGTGGTGGATAAAGAGTAAGACAGGAAAGTCGATGACTAAATTTCACTGAACACACACACAGGTAGGAAAGGGGAGGAACGGGTCCAAGGGCAGACAGAGGAGTGGAGAAAGGAGACAAGCTGAGGGAAGTGTCGAGGACCAATGGGGAGGAACAAGTCCTAAGCAGGGGACTTGGCGCCAGTAACTCTAAAACATTCAGATCCAGAAGAGGACTGGGGTGTAGAACCTGCTTCTTTGGAAATAAAAGAGTATCAAAGGCAGTGACCAGGTTAAAAAGCACCCCAAGGACCACAGACTCACAGCCCCAGAAGTGTTAGAAGGGTTGACTGACTCCCTTCTAGTTCCAGTACTCTGTCCTTGTGGGGCACAGAAGACCCTCAGATACCTCTGATTCACCATGTAAAAATGTTTGCATCTTGTTTTAAAGTTGCCCCCGGTATCAGTATCCGCATGCCTACACTGAAACACACCACAGAGCTATCCTATTGAAACAGCGTGGCAAGGCAGGCAAAATGAGTGAAAACAGCCCAGATCATCCGGAACTGGATGGGCGGTGGCGCTGTGAACCGGGGTGGTGCAATCCCATCACCCCGCAGGCCCTGGTCCTGTTTCCCACTACGGGTTCGGGAACCATCGGGGCATGGGGGGCTCGGCTGTCACGGCTCGCAGGAATGGGAGACTATCTGAGGAGCGAGCCGGGTCTCCAGACCTCGGGCTGTTCCTCAGGCTGAGGTGACCCGAGTTCACCAGGAAGGAGCTCCACCCGGCTGGACGGCTGCCCGGATGGGTGTCTGTGGGAGACCCACGGAGCGGGGGCTCAGGCGGGACGCCCAGCACACCGCGAGGCCGTCGGGCTTCCGCCAGGGCGCTCCAGGCTCGCACGAGGGAGTCGGAGCTCAAAGCACCCCGGGCCACCGTGAGGCCG